CTATTTCACGGGTGGGGGGTTTTTGCCCCCCCCTTTTTTTTTTTTAAATATCAGAAAGATGTAACTAACAGAACGCCACGGCTCCTGATCTGCCACTGATCATACCCTGATCACACCCTTTCTCACTCATATGCCCTTCTTCGCAGAGACAGTGTACTTGACTTCCACAATTTTTTCAAATCCAAATTCCTTTATGGACTTTTAAAACTAATTTGCCTTTAAGTCCTTGAAACTGGACTCAGCTCTATCTTAACGAACACACACTGGTGCTAAGATTTTAGTTAATTCTTTTTTATCCCATGGATAAAGTGAGCATTAGACTTGAAATTACATGCAGCCAGCTTGTCAAAGCCTACTGTGGAAAGCACTCGGCACTCACAAAATGCAATTTCTTACTCCCATCGAGTGCTGAGCAGCCTTCAGATCCCTTCCCGTCCATAGGAAGAGCTATTAATCGCATCTGCAGCTGGACCTATGCAAACGCGGTATCAACCCTGCCGAAGGAGGAGCGAGTCCCCGGGAGGGGAGGCAAGGGACGGGACGGGACGGAAGGGCAGCCCGTGCTCTCTCGGCTGGAATCACCCCCTGCACTCGCAGGCACCGCGAGCCCCGCGCAGCCGGGCGGCAGGGCGGCCGATGGGGTCGGGAAGCAGAGCCCCAGCAGCAGTGAGAGCAGCAGCTGCAGCCAGCACGGCAAGTCCAGGGCCGCTTGGGCCGGCGTTCTCCCTCCCCACGGACAGGGAGCTCGCAGAGGAGAGGCACTGTCCTCGCACACCCGGCCTGGCGATACACTCGACTGCCAGTCCGGTGTCTGCCTCGTCCAACTCCGCTGCACGCTCTCTGGGGAGGTGACTACAAAAAAGATGGCTGGTCCTTCGGCACCACCATGACAACAAGAGTTTGTCTGCAGATCTGTCAAGACCCCAAGAGGCAATCTGCCACTGGGAAAAAAGCTTCCTCCTGATCTAACATGGGGCCATTTTTGCCTATACGTATCAAAACCAGCTCCCGAGGTCCCCCCCTTTCTCAAGCATGGGTGACAGCAGCATAGGCTTCTGCATGCACGTCTTCAGAAGAACGGTCACTGCCACGGGACAGCTCTGCGTGCCCCTAGAGCCTGTCCCAGCTCTGCCTCCCGGCCGCGGCGGAACGACCCGTTTGCACTACAGACCGATCACTGCAGTCCGCTTTCTCTTCGTGAAACACCTGTAAGCATCGGTGTCTGCCGGGACCAGTTCCGACACGAGCATTATTGGAGCTGCGCTGGCAATTCGCAGTCGGCCAAACGCAGGCACTTGGCACGGCTCTGCTCCCCACCCGGAGGGCTGCGCAGCCACCCTGGTACAAGGTGTTCCTATATTCTAATATAAACGTCCACAAATATTTGCACATGGCTTTCCACAAGCGTTCTGCGGTAAAATGCAATTACTTGAAAGTTTTCAGAAAGCAAACACGAAAGTATTGGGAACTGACTTAACAGATCCATTAAAAAAATTAAACAAACATTTAATGTATTTTGTTCCTTCCATGGCAACCTCCTGTTAATTTTCTTACCGCACTTCCCGCTGTGCAGCTGGCGACGCAGCCGCTCCCGGGTGCCATGCTCTGCCCTACGGGAAGGGGGCCATAGGCACAAGTGACGGCTACTGCAGGGCCAGCCACCGGCGTTCAGTGCTCAGGCTGCACTGGGAAGGGGACAGCAGCAGCCAGCGGCCACAGAGCTACAGTTTCACAACAGTAACTGTGAAGCTATCCCAAAGCACTGTCTTGCCTTTTATATGTTACAGATATTATGACTTAGGGCAGGCAACCCCTAACGATACTATGCAGCACAGTAAAGCAAAAACCCCAGAAAGCCACCAAAAAATCCACAGACATAATTATTAGTTGTTTCAACTTCTTAACCACAGTGTATCCACACTAACCAAATCAGAGTTTAACACAGCCCACACAGCAAATGGTGGGTTACCCCCCCCATGAAAGGTTTCACATGCCAAGGGATGCAAGAGGAAGATCCTTTTCAACAGCCAGAAGAACAGCTGTGATTTTCTCCTGTATTTGAATACATAAGCTGAAACTCCCAGAGCTATTGTTTCTTCTTTCCCCCCTTCATGGTTTGTCTGGGGGTTTTTCCCCCCCTTCCCCCAAGTGCATTTCAGTTACCCAGCCAAATTGCTGCATTTTAGGCAAATAAATAGTCCTTTTTTCTAATGCTGGACACAACCTGTGAAAATTTTCTGCATTTAGATTCAACAATGCTGCTCTTATCTACAGCTCATCTCAAGAGAGACAATTACCATTTCCTTTGCCTTGATCTTGTTTGTTTAACTTGACACAGTGAAGAAAGGGCTGACATTGACCAAAATCCCCAGCATTAATTTATCTCATGTTCGGCATTCATCATTGCCACCATGCAGGAAAGACATGGCAGTCACTTGAAATACCACACCGAGAAAGACTCCACAAAAACAACGCTGGCTGGCAAACTGCGCACGCAAGAGGGGCTGGGCAAACAAACGTTCCAGTAGCACCCTTAATTTTATTACAAAGCCCTGTAAACAGCAGACTTGTGGGTTCTCAGTGCAACGTCTTTCATACAAACTGCGACAACGTTAGCCAGTCCAGGAGTTAAGATGGGATTAAATGGACTGGATGTGCTTTAACCACAAGCTCATTCTTTAAAATATTCAAAACAGTTTAGAAAGTACTAACCACTTCACAGGCCCAGACAAATGTCAGTGTGCGTAACTGTGCAATGTACCTTCTGATGGACAATTGTACCACTTTGAATATATTTAAACAGCATTTCTGTATCAAAAAAGCCAAATTCAGGTCTGTATTGTGGTATACTTTGTAAACTGGAGCTGTTCTTTGGGTCTCATTTTTTCTGCACACGAAAAAATCCTTGAATTTCAAGGCTGCTTGAGGACAGCTGTGCACGCCGCTTCTCTTGTAGCTGGCAAACAGCACCCACACTGCAGCGTTCACCCAGGCAACACTCACCCAGTCTCCAAGCCAGCCCTTCAGCAAAGCGGGGAAAAACTCTGAACACCTACGCCTTTGGTCGTTAAAGTTACAGCTTCTCTGCAGCAAAGAAACACCTACCTGCAAAAACTCATTGAGCTCCACCTGCCCATTCTTGTTCAGATCCACTTCATTTAGAATTTCATGGAGTGTGTTTTCGGCAATTTGCACGCTGATGCTCTAGACAAGATAAAGAAACCACAGAAGTATGTCAACTGGACTGTTCAGCACTGTTTATGCTACACGCTGAAATTCAGACAAGAGGCTTCAAAGGGAAACTAAAAGAAGGCACGGAAACATTACCTCCAAGACACGCTGCACATCCAGTATAGTAATAAACCCTTTCTTGTCCTTATCAAACATGTGGAATCGCTTCTTGTACCTGCAAGATTAGGATTACCAGTGGGGAAAACTGCACTCAGAAGAATGACAGGTATCAATTCTCAGCAGCACAGGGAACTCTTTACTTACCTTTCAATATCTGAAGGCCCTAGACTGATTTCAGAGCTGTCTGTTAATTGATCCGATTTTACTTTGTAGCCCATTTCATAATAAAGAAATTTTTTAGCAGCTTCAAGTTCTTCCTACAACAACAACACCAAAAAAGAAAAACTGTATAAATAGCAAGTTCTTACACAATTATTTTCAATGTAGTATTATTAGCCATTTCCGCTTCACTAGAATTTATCTAAGGTCCAAAAGTTAGGCAGATGGTAGCTGAAAAGTATTTAAAAAACAAGTTAAACTTAGGCACTTTTTAGTCTTGAGAAGAGACATCAAGTCTAGCAAAACCTTCTAATGACTGTAAACGCCGTCAGGACCGCACCACGCCTTCAGTCACACACGGCACATCTCCCTGCTTCGTGAGGAACGGGACTTGCAGGTCAGGCCTACAAAATGCCACTGAACTCACAGCCGGTATCTTTGCGCAATGCTTCACCTACCTGTCTAAAACCAGAACAAAATCAGGAGGCGGAACACCAGGCAGGTCCTTTAGGTTTTAAACCGGTTTTCTTGACGGTAGTGAGATCAACGTATTGCCTGAAGTTCAGTGCAAGGCCTTCCCTGCCCCCTGTTCTAGGAAGCGTTAAACTGCCCTACACACAGCGTTGTTCTGCAGGGACAGGTACACCAACCACGGCTCCAAGAGTGCCACCAGCCTCCGGCAGCGGGGCACCGAGGTGAGAAGCCCACACGGCAGTGACGCAAGCGTACGCACGCGAAGTAACAGCCGCAGCAGCAGTAAAAGATTCCCAGGCACGTACCTATAAGCCACTTCATCTAGCAGAGACTTGTTCGTGAAGGCGTGTTAGGAGAGTAACTAAACCATACCAGACTACTCTTACATACTTCAAAGCAAGCACACAAATTAGTCTGAAAGTCCCAAACCAACAAAGACTTATTCAATGGTCTTACTCTAAGATCTAAAGTAAAGAATGCTCTTCTGGACAGGCATTGAATTGCCTCGTCCGTCAAGCTGAAATACAGCACATGCAAGCCTGCTCTAAAAATGCAGCCCTTCAGCATGGCCCGAGACTGGTTACAGGAGAGATGGTCACTATCTCAGGGGGGGTTTAGCCTCATTTGAAAGAAAAGAAGACTCTTCCAAAAGCAACCCCACTGGACACTGAGAGACGGCTCTGCTGCCATTAGCGAGCTCACACACGCACAGACAGCTTTGTGCATCTTACACGCCCGTGCAGTGCTTGTTAATTTTCCTTCCTGCAGGTCGCAGTGAGAGCGGGTGCCTATCTCCCCAGCTACAGCTACGGCTGTCCACGTAACTGTGATGACAGGCTGGTTTCAGATGCTCTGCTTTGCAAGCTTCCCAGTTTCTAACCTATTGTGATGGCAGACATGATACAGCTTTGTTTAACACGGTAAATTATTGTAAGAGCAAATCTCGCTGGGTGAGGGTCAGACACACCCCTCTGACTGCGAGGTTGCTCACCATGCATGCACACAAGCCACACAGCTCACAAGCATGACATGGTGGCAGCCCTTTCTTCGTGCATTTCTGTGGGGAGGCTTTAGGGTCGCAGCAGGACTCGGATGAGCTCCTTCCAGAAGTTAAGCTTCCTCCTGGCTAGCAGGTTTCACAGACAGTGCCAGGGAAGCCCCCAGTATCCTGGGCATTTCTCTTTTTACGAGAACAGAAAGCAGCGATAGTCGGTAACATACACGCTGCGGTGGTT